GCCGCTGGCCGTGTCCCCCGCCGCCGCCCCCGGGGGCTGCCCGTCCGCCTGCTACTGCGTGGCCACCCCGGAGCTGGTGCAGTGCCGGTACGAGAGGTTGGAGGAACCGCCGAGGGAGCTGCCGGCCACCGTGCACAACCTCAGCATCGCCGGCAGCAACCTGAGCGTGCTGCACCGCGCTGCCTTCGCTGCCCGCCCGCTGCCAGACCTCCGCCTGCTCCGCTTGCGCCACGATAACATCCAAATCATCGAGGACATGGCTCTGCAAGGGTTGCCCGCCCTACGCACCCTCGACCTGAGCCACAACCCGCTGCTCTCGGTGGCCGCCCGCGCCTTCGCCGGCTCGCCGCTGCTGCGGCCGCGGCAGACGGAACCAGGCGCTGCTGGCCGCCCCGTTGGAGGAGCAGCTCGCCTTGGCCCTGCGCAACCTCAGCCTGCGGCGCTTGGAGCTGGCGGGCAACGCTCTGCGGGCGCTGCCGGCCGCCCTGCTGCCCGCCGGCCTGGAGGAGCTGGACCTGCGTAACAACTCGCTGCAGCGGCTAAAAAAGCGCGCGCGGCCGGACGGCCGCTGAGCTGCGGAGCCTGGAAGCGCCGGGGTTGCGGGGGCTGCGGCTCACCTTGGGGGCCAACCCGCTGAGTTGCGACTGTGCCCTGCGCCCGTTCCTCGCCTGGCTGCGCGTCACCGCTGCCCGCCTGCCCGATGCCCGCAGCCTGCACTGTGCCGGACCACCGCCGCTACGCGGGGCCACCCTGCTGCACCTGCGGCCCGAGGGGCTGGCGTGCGCGGCCACTGAGGGCGGCGAGCCCGGTCAGCTGGAGACGGCCTCTTACGTCTTCTTCGGCATCGTGTTGGCCCTCATCGGTATCGTCTTCCTCATGGTGCTCTACCTGAACCGCCGCGGCATCAAGCGTTGGCTGCACAACCTGCGTGAGGCTTGCCGCGACCAGATGGAGGGCTACCACTACCGCTATGAGCAGGACGCCGATCCCCGCCGTGCCAACGCCATCGGCACCCCCGGCCTCTGACGGCATCCCTGGCCTCTGCTGCCATGCCGCCCCTCGACGCCTCCGCTCCCGGCATCCGCCTCACCTCATCCCCGTTCCCATCCCCTTGCCATGGCACCACCAAAAATCAGCTTCTGAGGACGAGCCGGCCCTGGGGTTGGGTGCTGGGGTGCGTCAGAGTGGGGTGCACCCTCCCTGGAGCGCTCCGGACCAGCTCTCCCTGCCCGTGCCCTAATCGACCCCGTAGCGCCAATTCCCACAGGGGACTGGGCTTGGATCCATTCCCCCCATCCCAGTGCCCGCGGGCAGGGGGAAGCGCATCCAGATCGGCCCCGCGGGATGCCGGCACGAGCAGCCCCGGTGCTCCCGGGAGGATTATGAACTGCTTCCCGCGCCTCTTCTCCAGCGGCAGGTTTCTTCGGCGGACTGCGGGATGCCACGCTGCCGGCGGGGCTCGGCACGTGAGTGTTTGCTTGGCACATCCCGGGAAGCAGCGGGCAATACCTGAAACTGTCCTCCTGGATGTTCCTGGAGCCTGGACTTGACTTTGACCATGTACAGCTCTCTTTCCTATTAGATTTGTATTTGACAGATGCAAAACTTAACTTGATTTCTTTTTTTTTTTTCTTTTTTTTGCTCCAAACACAGAGGAAAACACACCGTCCAGCCGCTCCCCCCGAGAAGCGATGTGCTTTTCCGAGCCCGTTTATCCATTTGGTTTTGTTCGATGACATTTCCAGCTCTTTCCAGGCACAAAACGATGCAGCTGTGTAGGAAACGCCTCCGCCGGCTGCGTGCATGTTCCCCAGGGCATGCGGGGGCAGCCCTTTTCTGACTCTAAAATATATCCTAGACTAGGCTGTCTCAGCACTTTGTAATTTAAAACGAGCGAAGCAAAAGCTCTCGACCTAGTTCACCCGCCCGTGTTTGCTTTAGAACCGTGCCTGTTACTATATCCTAGAGCAAATATATTGAAAGCTGCATCCACTCTATCGTCTATTTTCTATAAAGCTTCTTGCAATGATTTCCGAATATCCCTGTCGTGGTTTAACACGCTGAGGTGATGTTATTGCGGTTGGTTTGCCGGAGGAAGGTCGCTGTGGGCTCCTCTGTAGTTTTGCTGGTGCTTAGAAAGTTCTTTTCCTGAGCTGGTTTGGTGGCCAGGGATGCAGAGAGGTTTTGCACGGCTTGTGCACAGAGCTCAGGCTCTGCCCATCCTGATCCTTCCCTGGTAGCGGGGCAGAGGCTCAGGAAAATTATCCAGGTAATAAGTTTCTAAAGCAGTTTTTATCTCCTGGGTGTTTTGGTACATAATTCATGAGACACCGGAGCGCTGAGCACCTACAGATGCGGAGAGAGGCAGCGCAGGGCTGCGACTCGCAGCATTTCCCAAAATGAAGCTGTAGCTTTTGCAATGTGGCATCTTAAAACGCTGAATTTCAGTGTCAGGCTGAAAACTCAAGTGTCACATTTTGATACGTCTGTGTTTGCCTTTCTCCGGAGGCTGATACGGGCGAGCCGGGCAGGGGTGAGGACGGGGGCTGCATCCTCGCTGCCCCGCAGCCGTGCTGGGACCAGCGCCGGTGTTTGCCCGGTGCTTTGGGATCCCTGACGTGGGGAGCAGCAGCTACGTGGTGTATCGGGTTTGTAAATGAGAGTTTTCTGGGATTTATGGCTCCTGAGCCTGCGTGTGTGTGTGTGTACTCAGCTGCCGGGCAGAAAGCTCTGCTGGGGGAAAGCACAATTATTTCCATCCCAGGCGTGCCCGGCAGCCCGGGGAAGGATGCGACCGGGTGGAGGGTCTTTAGGGTTTTACCCCTTTGCTTTTACCCCCATTGCATTTTAGCCCTTTACTTTTCCTCCCCTTGCAAGCCCAGGCCGAGGTTGGCAAGCCGGTAGGGAAAGGGGGCTGAGACGTGTGCAGAGCCATGTGTCTGAGCTGTATTCAGGTAGGGATACAGCACTGGGAGTCAAAATGAGTTTCCTGGGTGCTCTGGGCTGGTCCTGCTGAGCAGGGAGGTGGTTCCCCACCGGCGCCGGGTCCTGGCTCTGTCCTGGTTCCTGGGGAAGCGCCAGAGACCCCCACGGCTCAGCTTATCGGAGATGAGTTGCTCTGGCAGAAACTTGTTGCATTTTGAGGACCTTTTCCTGAGGTTTTCTCCCCATCCTAGGAGCTCGTGGGCTCTGGCTCCACCTCACCACCCCATGCAATGAGTTACCGGGCAGGTTAATGGGGGAGAAATCTCAGCCTGCCCCTCACCCTCATCTGCTTTCCCACCTCCTCCCTCATTTTCCCATCCCCGTGCAGCCAAAACGCAGCCCCAGAGAGCAAGAGGAAGGGCGAAAAGGGGTGGATTTCACATTCGGCAGCCACATCTGGCAGAGCACGCCGTGCCGGGAGCGAACGCTGCTGAGCATCGTGGGTCATCCCAGCCTGCGACTCCACCGGAGCAGCATCAATTCGTGGGGGACGGTGCTGGGAAGTCCTGGCGAGATTTAACATCTTGCAGCGAGGAGAAGTGCCTGGAGGGCTTTGCGGGCAGATGGGTGGTTGTTGGACCGGGGAACACAGCATCCACCTGGCAGCGGCCGCCGGTGCCTGGCGATAGATAATGGGAAGGAAATCGCCTCCAGGCAGACAGAAAAGTGGCCAAACACATCCCGGGCCCGAAGCCCTTTGGCAAAGGGGGTGACCAGCATGGGCAGCCGGTTGCTCCGGCTTTCCCCGAGGCCGAGGGGAGGGATGCAGTGGCTTTTGGTCCCCGGGGCTGAGGACACTCCTCCTTTCGGCACCGAGCAGCAGGAGGTTCAGAGCATCGCGCTCCCCAGCCCCACTGGGTGCACCGAGACCCCAGGGTGCTTGCGCCGACCCCCTCCAGGGAGACAAAGCCCTGTCAGCCCGGCAAAGGCGACGTGCGAGCGGTCGGATGTGGGCGGTTGGGTAGATAACCAGCTGTAGGAGCATAATTCTTGTGGCTTGTTAATGTTAATATTATTCTGTGCAGCACATACCCCACCCATGACAAACCAGCAGGATTAGGGAACCTCTGCATTAGCGAAACCGAGACTTGTCACCGAGCCGAGACTCAGAATGTGCTTTTTGGGTTCCCAATGACAGCCGCATGTTTAGAGAAACCCAGCTGCCGTCATGGTTCCGTGCGGTCCCTTTCCGCGAAGGGCTTGGCGAGGGGGATGCAAACCTCCCGGCTCCCCGAGCCTTCGGCAGCAAGCTGCTGCCCGAGCGGAAAGTTACCCCGACAGCTCCTCGAGCCGAATGAAATGTAGGATATAAACAGCATCTGTGATACGATTCAAGCAAAGGATGCTCAGAGCCCTCTGCGGTGGCTCGTTACCAAAAAACAGGGGAAAAACCCAAAAAGGGCGGCTTATACGCCCTGCGTATGAGACGCTTATAAGATGTCAGTGCTTTGCAACCCCGGGTGGTCTTTCAGAGCCGATTTTCCTTCCTTATTTTCTAAAGAGCTCAACTGTTTCTTGGGCTGATCCGGCCAAGAGGCAAGCAGTGAGATTTAGCCGAGGAGATGGACGTGGGTGCAGCCGGAGTTGGGCCAGGCAACCCTGCCTGCATCCATCCTCCCCCTGCACACCTCCTTGTGGGTTTTAGGTGCTCGTGTCGCTGGACCAGGGTATCCCGGGTGTGTTTTGAGAAGCGTTTTTGCTCAAGTTTGGTGGAAGTTGCTCCGTGGTGCCCAGAGCTGTAGGAGAGATGCCGAGCATGGTCTCATTTAGCACGGAAGAGGCCAAAAATACCGGCACGTCGATTGCTGCCTGATTTATCAAGTGGAAATAACTGGGCTGGAGCATCGTCGTCATCCCTGCTGAGCGCGGGGCTGCAATGCCCCGGCACTCGGGCAGGGAAGAAAATCAGCCACCAGCTGCCTCCCCCTTCCAAAAATACACAGAATTAATAATGATTAATTCTTCCCAAGCAGCTTCACCCCTGAGAAGCTTCACACCAGGCTCCTTCATCCTCCTCCTCCTCTCTTAGCAGGGATTAACCCAAACCTACAGAGGGAGGGAGGGGGGGAAACCCTAACTCTGCTTTTCATTTATTCCTTTAGGAAGAGCAAGTGGGAACTGTTACCCTCATGGATTGGGGAAACTGAAGCACAAACAAAGCAGGGCCAAGTTCCTGATAGCAGGGAGGGAAGGGTTTGGGCAGAAAAAAACAGAGAAATGGATTTCAAACCTCAGCAGGGTTCACTTAAAACTCTGGGCACCTTTGGGACCTCCAAGCCCGGGGCAGTCCCCGCTCTGTTTGTCCTTCCTCCAGCTCAGAGGTGACCCCTGTTCCTTGCCAAAGAAATTGGGATTAAACAGGATCCCACCTATGTGAGTGCTTCTAATTAGCTGTGTTAGGATAATGCTGGAGGACAGGGTCTCCCGGGGCAGCTGAGCACTGAACAGCTCAGCACAGCAATGAGCCCCTGGCAGCAAGGAGCGGGCTGGAGGCGGCAGCACCATGGGGCTGGGGACCTGTCCCGGGGGAACGCAGCCAGGGCACAGGGTGGCAGGTCAAAGTTCCCAGCGTGAGCAGTGTTGTGACACACATCCCCCCCCGGCCTGCAGCCTGCCCTGGGGTGGCAGGGACAGGCAGGGCTTGGATGGGCTGGGACGGAAAAAGCCAGGCAAGGGCAAGGACGCCGAGGCCAGGACATGTAGGGCAGGGGTGGACAGGCCCAGGATGGGCAAGGGACAGGCAGATCAGGGACCTGGACAGGCAAGGATGGGCAGGGACAGGCCAGGCAGTGGTGCTCAGGCAGGGAGAGGCTGGGCAGAGACGGGCAGGGATGCTCAGGCAGGGATAGGCAGGGCACCTGGGACGGATGGGAGCTGGGATGAAGGAGCAGCTCCCCACATCCCCCAAAGGGCTCTGAACCCCAGCAGCTCCCCCCGCACCCCAGGACACCCCCACGGCCTCATGCCCTCCCTGCCACACGGGTCCCCAGCATGGGGCCACCTTGTCCCTCGGGGGGGGTGGGGTGGGGGTGGTGGTTTTTCACCCTGGCATGTGTTTTCACCCGAGCCTGGCTCCGGGCAGCCCCGCAGGGAGCTGGCACAGCACCGCCCAGACAGATGGGGAAGGACGTGTTTCCACTAATCTGCCCCAATCTGGATTATTTTTCAAAATAAACCTGCTTTCCCAGCTGTTTTAAGCAAGTTTTTGGCACACTGGGGACAGGTGGGATGCCGGGGATGGGAGAGAAGCTGGCAGGGGTAGAGGCAGTGGAGGTGATAATATGTCTGCTCAGTGTCCCCATGCCACCAGGCTCCCATTGTTTGCTTGGAGAGTAGGGACCAGAGCAAATTTGAGGTGGCTTCGGCAGCACATCACCCAGCTCACGGGGCTGGGATCATCCCATGGTGCTTACTTGGGGGGGGGGGGGGGGGGGGGGGTCTTT